TACTACGCGGTTACTTAAAAATTTATATCAAACAAATATTTATTGATAATTATGTATTTTTTTTATTCTATATACTATAATTAAATGCAATGTTAATTCTTTTATATATATATTTAGTTATATTTTTAGATTACGCACATTTTTAACAAAATAATAAATTATAATGAAAAGTAGTATTAAAAATTAAATCTCCATAAATAAATAAATCTCCTTAAATAAAGCTCAAAATCGGAGAAAAATAATTTTGTCTATTAGAACCACTGTATGCCGCCTGATTTGTATGTATTTGTATTTGAATGGATTTCTCTGGAATTATCAAGGATTACCAGAATAATGGCCTTATGATGACGATGTAAATTAAGGAACTTTTCAATTTTCTAAGTATTTGAAGACAAATTCCAAGAATTCTGTTTGGTATCACAAAGTTACTTATCATTTGACCTAACAAATATATACAAAATATTATTATTTCATCAATATAAATTTCGAATATCATGGTATGATTAATAATATTTTATTGAAATAGAATAACTATTGTATTCTAATTGAAGATTCTAAGAGTAATGTATTTGTATCTAAGAGTAAATAAAAAAAAAAAAAAACATGAGAAAATAATATTCGAAATCGAATTTTAATAATTTTTTTTGTTGCCAGTATTGTTTTGTCTTGATTTTGATTCATTCCTTTATAAAGTATATTATGAATGAGAATGCAAGAAAAAAAGTTAATCAATTGTAACTTTGGAATATAAATAAAAAGGATAATATGCGATATATAGATTTTTTAAGGATTTCAACGATATTGATTTGAGTTATCAATCTGTGGAATTGTTAAATGTTTTCTTCAATTCTATAATCTCGTATAAGAAATTTGAATTGGTTGAAGTTGATTGAATAGCTAAAAGAAGCAAGAATTTGTGTAAAAAATCATTAAAATTCAATTTTTCTATTCGAAATCTCATGGAAGAATGTTTTGATTTGCTCTCATAAGTTTTCAACAAATAGATTAAATGTAAAGAAACAATTCACTTATCACTTATTATGAATTTAAAATAAATTATATAGGATGATTAAAAAATTATATGTTTCAAATAATTCCTTTGCATCAAAGAAAAAAAGTTATTGCAAGCATGATTTATAAAATCGAATTTTTTTCATTTGTCACAAAGGTCAAATAACTTTGTGACAATTTTCAAAAAAATTGGATTGCGAATGTATTGTATATCATAATATTCTAAAAAAAAAAATGTTAGAATTTAATTAGCTCCATTATTAATATTAATTCTTTTATTACAATACTTATTTGCAAAATATAGAAATTAATCTACTTATCTGTACGCGTCTATTATCTGAAACATTAAAGAATTAAACGATCATTAATTTTTAAATAGATTTGACTTGCTTATAGTATAGTACGATATGATCATTCAAAATTCAATGTATTGAAACATCTAAACGAAATGATCGTTGTGAAGTACCGAATAAATTGCGAAGAAATTTATAATTTTTAGAAAATATAATTTTTTGAATATATTTTCTTGAAAAATTAATTTTAAAACAATATTTATATAATTTTTTATTTATTTTCACATTTTGAATAATCTTCTATATTGAACAATCCATTCAATCATATCCTATTGGAAATTAGTAATTTCATATTATTTGAAAAATTTTGAAATTTGATTTATTAAACTCGATACATTGGATTTTTATTTTAAAGCAAAGCTGGTCGTGTAATTTCTTGATTTTCGTTTTATATCGATTATTCATTTTCAATTTAAACATTAAAAGTTCTCTCTGGTATTAATCTTGGGCGTTGCGATATATTTCTCGAGCTCAATAAGTTGAAAAGTTCTTTTTCTATAAAAATCTCATTTTATAAAAAAGTATTTTATAAAAGATAACATTTTGTAAATATTAGAAATACTATATTATAATTTCTAAATATAATTACTTATTATTAGATAATATATAAAATAAAAATAATAACAATGTTTCATAGTTTTCAAAATGGCACATATATAAATTGGGAAGAGAGTAACGAAGAGAATATAATAGATATAACCATGCTAATTTACTAATAATCCGTTAGATAGAATCAAATAAATAAATATAGTAGCATATACAATAAATAAATATTTGTAAAATAGAGAATTCTGTAAAAAGAATTTCATAATGAGTATTTTATAAATAAAATAAATTTAAACGATCAAAAGACTTCAACTTTTTCTTCAAAAAGAAAATACTTGGAGTTCATAATTTTGTTGAGATTTTTGTTTTTCATCATGAATATATGATGCAAAAAAAAAATTTAATTTTTGAAAATCACATTAGAATCAATTTTGCGATTACTATTTTTATCAGATTTCCTTCGATATAGAATGAGACGAAATGAAATTGCATTCAGTTTTGTTATTGTTCATAAATTAGTTGGCTCGATAATTCGATCGAATGGCTTAATGAAAACCAACGCGATAATAAACTTCTGCTTGAATATATGATTACAAAAATGTAAAACATCTTTTAAAAGTAAATTTTAAATATCAGTGCAATAAAAAAAATTAATATTAATATTAAATTAATATTAATATATTGATTGGTAAGATGCTTAATTAATGACTAAGTATTTTAAATTTATGTTAAATAATGATAGAAAATGAGAGAGCTAAATATGGCAATGTTATTAGCGGAATTCCTAAATGAAAAATAAATGTATTATTAACATCTTTTTAAATATGATTTTTGTTTCAATTTAATATAATATGTAATATAACTATGGAATATATTTATGTTTCTTTAAAAAGAAAATTTTGATTTATTATTCAAGGTTTACTTCTTCAGCTTACAATTTTCAATAATTTAGGAATAATTTACGAACAGATATAGTTTTCTAACGTTTTCCAAATTCTCAATCTAAACAAATATATAAGAATAACGGTCATTTCACAAATCATATTTGCCTAGTGCTTTGCGATCTTATCTTGGAAGCGATCACAAAGGTTTTAATCTCGCATGCGCTGCGACGCCAATTCACGAAGGTCCATCCTTCGAAACCGCCCTCCAACGCGACTATTGGTTACTTTAACCCCCTCTTAGTTTACGTTTTCATGGAAATTAATGATTGGAGGAGAAACCAAGATTCGCGACAACTTTCTAGATTAAACCTAGTTCTAGATTAATCTAATTAGAAAAAAAATAGAATTTAGATTAGATAGAATGATACACATCGAAGTACAATTAGAATCATTGCAATCAGTGGTCAATTAGCCGTAAACAGTTAAAGTAAATCACCATTCGTTCATTATATTGTTCATATAAACAATAATATACTCTTAACGATCGATAGTAAATGGTCTTTCGAGATCATAATAATATCATCAGTTCAGACATTCTATTTGTGCAATATTCAAAGTCATTTAGTTTAGACTTTAACAGAAATAATAATCAAAATTTAATATTAATATTTTGATTGTATTAATATCACGTTTTATGTCCATAATTCGAATAAAATTATTTTGATAATCGAATTATTATATTATTATATTAATTATTATATTAATTATTATATTAATTATAATAAAAAAAAATACCCTTTATTAATTTGAAATTTTATGGAAATTTTGATTTGTATTTACGGATTTCAGTAAGTAAATAGGTTGAATATCATAGTATAATTTATATATGGATTTAAATAAAACATTTGTACAACAATTTACCATAAATTTATATATAATGTCATATAATGTTACTATTTCGGAATTTCGATATAATATATAATAATTTTTTTAATATATAATAATAATAATTTTCATTAAATAACATACATATATTGCATATTAAAATATCAAAATATTGTATTATATTAAAATTTTCTATAATTTAACAATGATGTATGTTTCACAATGGATATTTCTGAGATTATCAATTCCAAATTCGAAGAATTCAAAACTCAAAATTATTCTCTATATTCATTTTCATGTAATATATTGAAGAGTTTTTATAGGATATCAAAAAGTTTTTTTCAAAAAATTCAGAAAAAAATTTTTTTCAGATATTTAATAATTAGAAATGAATTCTTTAAAAAATTTTTTTCTTAATATTTCTATTTTATATATACTCGATATTTTATATTTGAAATTTATAATATTAAAAAAATAATATAAAAAATTTCTTTTGGTTTTTTAATATTAAACAATTAATTAAAAATATTAAAAAACGATAAATACTTGTATTTCTTCCAATTGGATGCAATTAATTTGTATTGTATATTATTTTTCCACTTCGAACTTATTAAACTATTTTAAAAATTTTATAAACTTTTTTCAATTATCATTTAAATTATTCAACAAATTTATTTGTTTTTTCTTATAAATTTATATTAATAATTATAAATTTATATAACTATTATTTATCATGTTTATCTTTCATATAATTTCTCAATTGATTTTAGGATATTTATTTTGTGATCAATCCTCAATTCTAATAATAAAAGATTATAAATATATACATGTTTTCTATCATACCTATCATTCCTAATAAAATTATATCGGATTTTATTAAAATATTTCATATATATTTCAAGTTACATTATATAAATTACAATAGGATACAATTTCATTCGAAATCAAATTAAATATAAAATTACTCGTTCAAGTATTAAAAATTGTGTTTTAACTATATTATTTGAAATAATATTTAATTATAATTATAATACTAATAATAATTATTTAAAATAATAAAATAAAAATTATTTTTAAAACATAAATACAGTATATAAAAATTATTATAACTAGTATAAATTAATTAGATATTACTTACTACAAAGATTTCTCTTATTATCATTCGAACACATTCTCTTTTATTCATATCTTCCAATTTCTTTTTCTTGAATGAAATAACGATATGAAGTATATTTATAACTGAAAAAATAACGATACAAATAAGGAAAAAGTTCTCTTATAGAGTAATCGAAAGACTACTATTCATGTTCTCAACACTTGGAAAAGAAGAGGAAAATAAAGAAAAGACTAGAAGAAGAATAAAATAGAAGAAAAGAATAAAATAAACGACAATAAAAATTAATAATATAAACAAGAAACTTGAATACTATAATTTTCTTGAAAACAATATCTATTATGGAAAATCTCTTTGCAGAAGATATACATAAAATCGATCGATTATAATTTACTGCAATTGCTACACATTATACTATTATTATTATAAAAAAATAATATGAAAATACAAGAAAGAAAAATAATAGCGTAAATAATATATCAAGCTGAGGTATAGTTGAATGATTCTTCGAATATTATATGATAGTTTATATCTGACTAGAAATATGGACGTATTCGACAAACATTATCATACTTATTGTACTATATTGAAAATCATTGGACTATGGCCGTACAATAACTCAGTCTATGTGTGGATTCAAAGATTATGGATATTGGCATTATTTCTTGGCAATATAATATTTCAGGTGATGAAAATTATAATTTTTCTTTGCGTAATTCATTGTATTTTTATGAATACAAATATTAATTTATAATGAAATATTTTATAGGATATTATCTATTTATTACAGCATTTATCATATTAATTATATATTTAATTATATATAATTAATTATATATTATATATCATATTATTTATTATATTATATTAATGTTCTTTTCCGTAAATTAATAATATGCATTTATCATATTAATATAAAATATAAATAATGTGTATTAATATATATATTATTATTATATATATTAATATATATATAATAATAAAATCATAATACTGTATTGTGATTTTAAGTTTGTGAATAACATATATGTATCAGCGTGATATGAATGTATGAAAACATATTTGTGTAATATTCAAAAGTTATCACATTTTGAAATATACAATGTTTAGTTAATATATATACACGGCATAATATTTTATTTCGTTTAAAAATTAATTTTCGAAAGAAATAGATTTTAAAAGTTGTAGTAAAATTGTTTCTTATCAACATATATATATTTCTTTAAAAAAAAAGAAATTAAAATTTAATTTTACATTTTTTGTATATTTTCATATATCGAATCTTTTTTTTATAATTTATTTTTTTATTTAATTTATTTTTTTATAATTATTTTTTATAATTTATTATATCTAATTGAAGATTATGCAATTATTCTTCAAAAAATTTAATTTTCTCGAAAAAAACGAAACGAAAAAATTTTATTCTTATTTGGATATATATGCTATTTCGCTAGATTTTGTATAGATATATAAAAAGAACATACTAAAATTAATATCTACGTTTTTACTTTTACATTTATATTTTACTTTTATTTTTGATCATATTTTTATTTTACAATAAACTGTAATATTATATATATTTTAGAATACCGATTAAATGATAATAATGATAATATATTTAAAAATGCAATTGAAATACTATATAATTTTTAAAATTTAATATTTTTAACATATTATAATTAAAAAATTTTTAGATTGTGTCACTTCTAAGATCTGAAATTACGTTACGAAACTGTATTTTAATATTTTCTACGACTTGTCCACTTATAATAATTTTGTTACGATATATAAGCTTTATAGTATTTTTTCCTATGGTAAGTAAAAATTAAATTTATTTTAGACTTTTTAA